TTAACAGCATTCTCCTAGAAACAACATTGTAAGAAGTTGAATTGAGAACTAGGTATTTAAAACTACACCCAAGCCTAAGCTGCATGAAGACAGGTAATTGCAGATTAATATTCCACTGTAATACTGATGCACAAGAGCGCAGAGTTAAAGTTGCCATGGGAAACAAGCCTGAGTTTCTTCACTTTTCTGCAATTCACAATCATCCTTAATAAGAGTTTTGGCAGATGATTTCTAATGCACTGAGCTTAACAGTCACACAAAAACCGTGCAAGAAGAAAGCTGCTACGCGGGGATGTGTAGATAGAACAGGTAGGCACGGGTACATCTCCATTACCCACCTCTGGGTTGCGTTGTGACAATCTCCGTTACTTTGTGAGCCACCTTCTACATTCCCATCCTGGCCTTCAGCTAAGATTGCCTTAATACAGGTTCCACAGAGCAGTGATTGAGAAGCACGCAGAAGATACCTTGCAGTCTACTTCCCAGCAGACCAGTGGTACCTCCATAACCTCCTCCTGCAGCAGCTTTGTGATCTCAGGGACATATTCCTCCGAGAAAGTCCTGAGAGTTTAGGCTACAGCTCCCAAGATGGCTTGCCCATCCCCTGTCTACTCACCCTGAGCAGGGAGCTCAGCACAGACTGCACATCTGTTGCTACAGCCTAAATTTGGTGGAAATCAACATCCATTCCCATTACAAGGTCAGTCTATAAATCACAGCAGCTCAGGAGCAGAGACACATCATTCAGTCGTCCCTGCCATGGGAACCAGACCACGGGTAGAGCAGTAGGGTGACAGAGAGGCAGCGATCACCACAGCCACTCCAACTGCACCTGCCCGGACTGCCTGCCAGAACCACACGAGGGATGTTCAGGGGAAAACCCCTTTAACGCTCTCTTACACCAGCCTGGACCCCATTTAACCCTGTCAAGCATTTGTGTTTAATATTAATCTCACAGAAAGACTGGTTCTCATTTGTTAATATGCTTTTGCCAATCAGGATATGTACTGTGATCATGCAGATTTGTTTGTACACTTAAAAATAAATTAGTAACTGAACATATGCTTATTCATAGTCTCGGTGTTTACCGCTTTACATTGGAATGGTGAGTGACATTCTGTATTTATTAAATTACCAGGTATGTCTGGTTTCATTTGACAGTAATGATAATTAAAAATTCCCCCCAAATAACAATCAAAATGCACGTTAAACAAACTTGAAATACATAGGATACACTAGAGAAAAATAACAAAATATTTCTGCATTTTAAATCTGCTGTTTAAGAGAACACGGAAAATATCATCTATAAACATTTTACTCCTCTGCCTCTGGTCACAACCTCCTTCAGCAATTAGAAGATCTGAACATTTCATACCTTCCTCTTACAGAGAGTTCGGAAGAGGCAAATTTCTAATTCCCAACTGATTATCAAATTTGAGTGAATCTGAGACACTGAAGTCAAGTACCTGAAAAAAATGACATGAGAAAAGCAACTTCATCATTACCAAAAGCTCATTGAGCAGCTCAGCAGCTCCTAGGTCCAAACTCCTTCTACCAGTTCTGATACTCTTTTACACTTCCAGGCAGCAGACACATAAAGTTTGAATATTATTTGTTTCTTGTTTAAGTGGCTTTAATAGATTACAGTAGAGATTAACTTCCTGTGTAGAACCCTAATTTCAAATTCAGCTTTGAACAGATCTTATTTCTACCTTCAGACTTTTTATATTTTAAAAAAAATCTTCACTTTTCATGCACTCTGCTGAAGTTGAAGGCAAGCTACTTGGCTTGCTGACTGAAAGAGGCACACCCACTCACTGCATTAATAAAATAAGGATACAGGCAGCCATGGACCTGAGCCTGGAGAGCTCCTTAACACAGTCACTGAAAGCAATGACCACCATAAACACTGGTGTATACAAGGACAAAGGGACAAAAGAGCGAGACTCCCACTTATTAATGCATCTTCTCTTGCGTAGCTAAAGCACCGTGTGTACCCGGCTCTACAGGCTGACAGCACACAAAAGCAGCAGGCACTTAAAAACTCTCAGCAGACAGTAAAGGCAAAAAAAGTCTAAGGGTTGGAGCTGAAAAAATGAAGCACACACACTACCAGCGTAGTGGTCCGAGGTCCACTGACCTCCGCAGAAAGACAACTCCCATCTGACCCCACTGGGTTTTGGATCAAATCCCAAATGCACATGGTAAGCTTTGAAGAGATGCGAGGGGCCAGCCATAAACTTTCCTTACTGCCAACCCCTCCTGACCTTTGGCTGGCTAAAACACTACACGACACAGACTGTGCCTCTGTTCTTTCGGGTTTTCCCATCTATCCATCCAGGGCAATGCAGTTAAACCCCACACCTGCTTTTCTCTCTGGGATGGTCTCATTACTCATAAATATACACAAAAAAGCCACAAAGCTAAGCTGCTTCTTTGTGCATATAAACATGCACTTGATTTAGAGGCACATCTGTTGAAAGCTATCACAAGTCAGGACTATAAGGATGCTACCATCCCTCTATGGGTGTAGGGCAGGGAACATGAAGGATCCTCCATGCCTGACACAGAAGTGGTAAAGCAAAGGGCAGCAGCAACGAGGCACACAGCCAGTGGTCCCACGCACTACAGCCAGGATGCAGACAGTTTCCCATGGGAATATCACTGTCCTTGACCCTCCTTGATCCCCATTACGGAGGTTATACCATGAGACCTCAGAGGGAGATTGGGCAGTGTGAAAGGGAATGGAAATGAAGCAGTCTTCATGGCTCCAGAATGAGCATGAAGGACTTCCCCAGGGATCAAGCTAGCGAGGCTGCTGGTTGCAGAAGAGCACAAGTAAATACGCTGGGAGGGGAAGCAGATGTGGCAGTCACACATGTTAGTGTAGATAAAAAGATAGCTCTTTCCTCAGTTTCTGGTAAGAAGTCAGAATATTTTGTAGAGCAGTTAGTGAGAAATGTGAAGTGTACTGCACACTGGCAAGTGTGCTCTGCAAGACTTTAGGGCTGAGCTGGCTGAACTTACAGCTATGCCTACCCCCTTAAAGCAGCCTGGATCACAGCTCAGCTCTGTACATGCAGCCTCCTCATCAAATCACAATGCATTTGAATTTCATTGCAACTAGACTTTTATTTTGCAGGTATTAAAACAAAAGCGGAAAAAGGATCAGGACCACAACAAAGATCAGCACCTGACCATTCCTAGCTCCCAGGTCTGTCCTCAGATCAAACCTCCAAAACCTGCCTGCCACTGCTCCAGTGAAAGATCCTGCCACTAAAACCTTGCACAAAAAAATTGCTGAAATACACAGCACAGTTTGCTCACCATGACACACAGCCCAGCAGTGAAGAGGACAAAAGCTGGCTGGTCAGCAAAAAGGTTAAGATGCTACACTGATTCACATGTAGCAAGAGCTATTTCTTAATTTGTCAAACTAATTTGTTGGTGAGGATGTGAGGGACTGACAGCCCTTTCCACACATGATACGATGCAGACAGATGCTGAACACAGCAGACTGGAAAAACAACACTGAAGAACATCTCCACCTTAAAGGTGCTATTTCACCAACAAAATATATAGCAGATCCGCATTGGCCCACACCATTACTTTCCCTGGCAAGGACTTGGGGACAAAGCTCCTTAAAACAGTTGTAATCATATTCCACTCATGCTCCTTTTTACTGCCAGCTGTAAACTAGCTCCACATGCATCATGGTTTTGCATCAAAATGTGCACAGAGCAAACCCATATCCAAAGGGACAAGGTAGATCCAATTTACAGCTTTGACAGGTCTGTGCACCCGAGGTGGAGCGCGCAGGAAATAGCCTGACATCTCACTTGGAGAGCGGTTGAGACCCTGCTAGTAGAACTGGATGCAGAGCCACATCAGCCTCCCACAAAGACCCAGCAAAAGAGCAGGGAATCTGCTGGCCATTTTTCAGGAAACATGAGAAGCAGGTAGCACGTGCCAAGGCACTACTGGGGAGGAGAGGAGTCAAGTTTGATTCCAACCTGCAGCGTTCCTTTGACAGGACAAGCCCAAGGGAAACCACAGCTGCACTGGGAAATGAACACACTGTATCAAGTCACTTCAGTAATGAGACACCACACTGAAAACCCCTTAGCCTACATTCCAAGGAAGCAAACAGAAGTTATTCTGACCCAATAGGTATATTGCTGGCAATACCTGTAAGCAGCCAACTGCTTGGCAGTGGAGGATGAGAAGCCCGAGTCAGAGCCTCAGAAACTCTGTCTGTTCATTACCAACCCAACATTGGTCTCTTTCTTTTTAGTATGTTTTTATAATTTTAATGGAAACCCTAGGTCCATCCTGCTGACAACTGAAAATATATTTACTCATATGCTCTACACTACTGTGGAAGAACTGTCTGAAGAAAAACCTCTGTGCTTCATCTGGAACTCTGTGAGTCTCAAGTGGTAAGGCACCGGAAAAATCTCTCTGAAGCTGAACTCTTCCTGTCTCATTACACTCCAGAGTTAACACCCAGGCAAGAGAAATGCAGGATCAGATAGCTCAAACCTATTGTTCCTCTCTACTTAGAAATATTAGTATGTTGCACACATTTGTATCATCCAAACTATTTTTTCCTAAAACTGTTGGCTACCAACAGCCTTTTTCCTTACAGAATCAAACAAGGCTGCCATCAGTACTCTAATAATGCAAGTTCCCAGCCAAAAATTTTTAGACCCTCGCCAGTTCAGGCAGATGACAAGCATACATGACTCAACGATGTTTTTGATAACGCGTGAATTGTCACTTCATTGATGGATATCAGGCTCCATTTCATTCCCACTGAACGGTCCTGGCATTGTTCCTGAGAGAGCAGGTGACTGGCAAGAGCCCTGAAGGACCAACAATATAAAGGAGGTGGGGCAAACCAGAGAAAACAAGTGAGCCAGCACTGTGCTTCTTCCTTCCACCTCTGAGAACAGCAGCAGCAACTTGCAAGGGGATAATTAACAGGACTGACTATTTACCTGAGGATGAATCTGTGGTTTATCACACGTAGCCTCAAAATCCAGCACTAAGAAGTAGTGATATCTCTGTGGAGGGAAGGATGACATTGCTGCCATGGAAGCTCCAAAGCCGTGGGACGCCAGTTTCCTGCTTACGATGGAGCTGCACCCTTTGAGAACACCAGCCGGGAGGAGGGAGCACACAGCTTCTCTTGCCCTTGGAAGTAAGCTTTGGGGAAACTTTGCTGCTCCAGTATGGAGGAGTGCTATCATTGAACATCCAGAGGCATCTGAAACTGAAGACAAACTCATGTTACTCATGCACACATACATCTCATCTCTGCAAGTATCTCTTCACCATCCTCCCTCTGACAGGGATTTTTTCTGTGCTTCCCATCAGAGGTTCCAGCATTGCAAACCTGAAATAACACATTAACTTGCTCTAAGCTTTGGACTGAGCTCAAGGTGTCCAGAACCATGGGCAACTGGAAATAAACCTCTGCAAACAGCTCTAGATTAAGAACTATGAAACACGTAACAGATATGGCTCCAGGCACCAGATCACACACTCCTGACAAACCTTATCATGACAGAACACAACACAAACCACTTAAACATAGAAAATCTGATCTAAGCACCACTGAAATTTCTGAGGAGGCCTTTCATCTTTTCAGATACAATGCAACTTCTGACACTTGGTGGGAATTAAACACAGCAATGCACATATCCACACTACAGCCTATCCAAACAGCTTGGCCCTGAAACTCCTGTTAGTCACACCAAAACCTCCCACTGCCATTACAAATCCATGTGTCTGGTGGCTGGAAGGCTCCTTCCCAGGGAAGTTCTCATTTGCTGTGTACGAGGTTTCTCAGAGATGCTATTCTAGTGCTACACACCATTTCTTATTTAGGTATTTCTCAGAGGAGGACACTGGTTCAACAAACCCACACATGAACTGTAGGAACTGTAAAACACAAGCAGGACTCTATAGGTTACAGCCTCCCTCCCAAAGAAATATCTCACCCAGGCATCACCTTCCAATGCTTTTATTTAGCAAATGCTATTTAATAAATTATATTATCCATGTGAGACTGCCTGGATTTCCCATTCAAACTTTTTTCTTTTAAAACATTACTGGAAAAACTTGACAGGACTGTCACTGCCCAAGCTGGTCCAGCTTTGGGGCTGTTCACACATTTATTGGTTTGAAAGCTCAAGTCAAACTCATGGAGGTGTTACATAGCTGGGTACAGCAATAGATGGCAAAAACCAGGTGAATCACAACAACCCAGTCCTCCCGACCAAGGATACGAGTACCCACTGTAACTGTGTGTGCGTGTGTACCTACACACACCCCCCCTGGCTACATGGACCAGGAGATTTAAATCCATCCCCATGGCTTGTCCCACTGCTTGTGGCTCTGGGCAAAAGCTCCATCACACCATGTGCCACCCACCGCCTGGGTTCTGAGCCTGCGCCCTTTTTGCGCTGCTGTGAAGGGCGGGAGCACCCGCTGCGAGACGTGGAGCTGGAACGGGCACGGCAAAGCGGAGGAAAGTCGCTGTTTGCACAAAAGACAGCATTTGCTCTCTCCCATCCGTTAGTCCGGCAGGTAAATAATGCACGTGCCAAAACACACACTTAATGAGGTAAATAATATGCCTTGAATAACGGCTAAATCTGTATTTACCTGCGAGACCAGAGAAACTCGGAAGGACCAGATTAGGAGATAATTGCGGCTGAGCAGGTTGTGTGCTTCGAGTAAACACGCATTTGGTCACCTTCCCCTTCCAAGGTTTTGAGTGAAAGGCAAAAATCAAAGCAGCTGAGAGGTTTAAGACCAAGCCACTGCCCACAGTGCCAATTCCACGGTGCAAACGTGTCCCTACTCTGTGGCTTTGACATTTCGAGGGGCTGCTTGCTTTACTAATGCAGTGTGCCGGGCAGCACGTACCCAGAAAACTGAAAACTCAAGTTACAAAACCACAACAAAGATCTACTGTGCAAGTCCAACACTGCATTTATCCTAAAGGGGCTCAGCTCTACCTATTGCTTTTCCATCTACAGCTTTTACTGTCATTAATAAATGCATTACAGCCAAATAGAACTTAGTTATATTCACTTCTAATCTGTCCCTGATAAGAGATATTTAAGGTATATGTGCTTTAAATCTTCAAGCTACCAACTATGAATCTCAAGACCCATCACAGCAAATATAATGTCTCAGAATAAAGCAGCTTCTAAGTCAGTTGCAGTAAAACCTGGTCTTTAGCCTACTGCATAAAGTAAAATATACAGTTGGAGCAGGCAGCCTCCAACCCCTATATCAAACACAGGCAATAAAACATACATTATCCACCCACACAGAGCAAAATCAGTACTTCTCTAATGTATCTTAACCAGCAAGACTAGGGCATCAGAAGAGATCCCCACAAATATTCAGGCTAGCTCACACCACGTACAGTGGTGCAGAGGTCCCTGAGCCACTGAGTCTACATGGTCAGAATAAACCTGCCATGTCAGCAGGATTCAGGCACATCCCCACACGGACACGGCAGCACCACGCCAGACCCCGGCAGGTCCGTGTCACCCAGGTACCACAGGACATCAGCAGAAGGAAGTAACAGCCAGCAGCCTGCTTACACTAACCACTTCTGCAGGTGGTCCGTGTCTAACAACAGGATCAGTGTCCCCATCCTAGGAGCAGAGCAGCCTCCCTTCCCACCCTCATCACGGGTAGCAGAGGCAGCAACACCCTGAACAAAGGTGCGCGAGTCGGGTATTGTGCGCCGATTCCCCTACACAGACAGCATACAAATAAGAGCAACCCCACTGCAAACTCTGCACTTTCAGCCAAATGAAGTTTTAACTGCATGTTTACCCAGTCACTGCTCTAGGTGCCCTGGGAAGACCTCATATCATCTTCTTTGGCAAGGTCAGAGTGCCTCAGAGCACAAGATAGCTGGTGAGCAAACACACTTTATTAGAAGTCATGTAAAGCATTTATAACGGCTACAACAATGCAAAGCACTAGTAATTATCCCTTCTTTTTTTTTTCCCCCCAAACAGACAACAATGTCAGCAACACAGCTTCAAAAATTAGAAACCCAGCTATATCCATATAAATCCACATGTTCAGTGATTCCATTTCCAAACCTACGTAAAACATCACATATATATTTCTTATGCACACAGGGTCAGATTATCATCTCAGACAGTGCAAGCTGTCACATCTGGCACACAACCCTCCGAGGTTAATATTTCATATCATACAGCTCCAATTCCTTACACAGATACGTATGAAAAGTAATGGGACCATGAACCGAGGCTGGACTTCAGGAATTATTTTGACAGATTGTACACAGACGTAGGAAAATGTGACAGCGCTTTCCATTTGCAACACCCAATAACACGAGAAATGGCCACGTGTGGTGGGTTTCAGCTGGAAGATAAAGTTTGTGTTACGTGCTGTGTAAGAGTCTGTGCCGCACATGACATCACTGGTTATAATCAGCAACTGTATTTAAAAATAATGAAAAAAAAGAAAATATCTGGATATCAGCTGCAGGTGACAGGACAAGCTCAGGCTGAGCACAGCTCTTGCTTGTTAGCGGTCCCAGCACACGATACTAAAGCACGACAGTCTGATCATCAGCAAGCGAGGGAAGCCAAGAGAATGGCAAGTGCCAGCTGTAGCCGTCGGCTTGCCAGGGGCCCCACCGAGCACCAAATGGAGAATCTGCACGTGTGCCTGTCACACTCCAGGCTTCCCATGGGGGAAGCCGCTTAGTGGCAACCACAAGTGGCAAGGAACAGGATGGGGAACTCCTGCCACGTGAAGGACAGCAGGGAAAAAAAGCCAGCAGGGCATTGCAAGTGCTCTCCCCACCTGCGGGACAGCCCGAAAGCCACACGCAGAGATGTGCGCCACGCAAGGTGCAGAGGATTCCAGTTCATCCATGGTAAGACAAACTAGCCTATGAACTTGAGCTTAATGGGTTCTTTGCACATAAGATCAAAATTTACTTTTTACAACCACATCTAATTAAAATCACCTGGCAGCAAGAGAAAACATAACATCAACAGCTTGCCTTTAACCCAACAACGCTCCCCTTCACTGTCCAGTGTGATAAGCTGATGCAGGGAGGAGGAAAGACAAGCACCAAGTTCAGGTTGGAGGGGTGACCCAAGAAATTGTGTTTTACAAGAGCCACATGTTAAATTACCCTGTTATGGCAATATGGCTCTCCACCATATTGAAAAATAAACAAAAAAATTCCCACACTAACCTACAGGACAAGACAAACTACAATTAAAGCATAAAAGCAAGCAAGCTCTGGGAGTCATACACTTCAGTTTATTCCCTGGACAAAGCCTGGGTGGGGGCAGTTGCGACTCCTGGCCTCCGAGACAACTGAACTCAAGGCTAGAGCAACCAAAACCAATCCAAAATGTAAGTCAGGTTTGTCTTAGTTTATTAAATTATAGTGTCTTATTTTACTAAATTATAAAAAGATAGGGTAATAAATATGCTTTTTGTAGAACAAAACTGCATACATTTAGCAACACCTGGAACAGAGCATAACAAAAAATGCAGGACTTCCATTTTGGTAGCTGTTCAAAAGCACACTCAGAGGTCAAATGTGAGCCCATATTTCAGTTGTGTGAAGATATAACTGAAGAACAATAGAGATAACTCCATTTCTTTTTTAATCAACCTTAACTTAAAACCAAATATTTCATTAGATGAACTACAGTCCAAAAATGAGAGCACCTGGCTAGCCTGCGAGGCAGGAAACGAGAGACTATGAACAAAACCAGCTTATCCACTGTCACCGTCCAAACTTGCAAAAAACCCCCAAAACATAAAGTAAAACAAACAACAAAACACAAAGCTTTTAGAACTGTTTTAATAATGTAACATGATTTTAGACAGAAAAATTTGCTTTGTTAACCTCACAGTATCATCCCTCGAACGTGAATCCAGTGCACTTCCATGGCTGCACTCCCTTCAGTTTTGGCTGGGTTTGTCTCTGGCGCTGCTAGACAACCAAGCCCATGTTTTGGAAAGTCTGTAACGTAACTTCCCCAAAGCACTGCCACCAGATGCCTATAGGTTATCCCATCGTTACTCAGCCCAGATACAACTCTGCATTAATAATTTTGTTTTTACAGCACTCCAAAATTGCACCCAGCCTCTTCCCACTACTGATGAAGAGGTCCCTGTTCTCAAGAACTTACAGTCTAAAATTAGATGCAATACAACAAGTGATGGTAACAGTA